TTATAATCAAATTTAATGGTAAAATTAAGTTCCATGCTTTAGTAAGAAAAATTAAAAAAAAAAAAATTGGCTTGAAAGTTGAATTATGAAAATCATGCAAACATTAGGATTCTGAGAATTTACTTATGTACAGTTACTTTTTAAAAATAACAGATTTTTAAATTAATAAATAGCTTCATAGTAAAGTACATCAAAACACGTTTTTTATGTTCAATGCAAAATAATAAATTTAAAAACGCATTTTTTCATATGATTTCTACCTCAAGAATTTTTTAAAATACCTTTAGTGGTTAGCCGTGGGTCGTTTTCATTAGTGTTAGTCAATTGTAAGGTTGATAATTGATCAGACGATGAAATGGCCAAAAATGACTCTTCTGAAGAGTACAAGGTCATAAAATTGTCACCTCTCCCATCCTCTTCTTCTTCCGTGGACATCGACAGAGCTGTTGAAAAATGATCGGTGTTTACTTCGAAAGACTTCGACTGATCCTTGTTCATCACAGCGAGCCTCTATACCACAAAAGAATTTATCTTTTCTATATTTATGAGAGGTTGCATTTAATATATTTAATTGATATGTCAATAAGATTGAAAAAATTGATCCTCTTTGGCAACAAATAATATAAATGCAGTGTAAACTGTATAAAATTTATTGGTACATCAATATTTGATTTATGGCCAGTGCCATCTTATGAGACGCAATTTAAAAACCATATTGCCAGTTAAGATAAAATTTCCTTTTTTATTTACTGTTATTTTTAAATGTTTTACTATTTATACATAAATTTAAACCTATACTTATTTTTAAGCTATAGAAAATTTTTTAACACCCATATTTGTTGCAACCATTTATTATAAATATACCTTTTCTTATACTTTTTACTATAGGCAAATTAAACTTTTTCTGAAAAATAGTTGATACTGGTAATGTTTTCGGATAACGTAAATGAATACTCGCTGTTATTGGATTGGCAGATTCTCATTCAAGTATTATGAATACCTAACTTTATTTAAAATAAACTAAAATCAAACCAAACCTTTCTTTTTCTCTTGAAGAAAATGTATCAAACATGTTTTAGAAACATTTTTCCCACGTATAATGCTTCCACAAAGCATGTAGTTAAAAATTGTATTAATAAAAGTCAATAGAAAAAAACTAAATTTGTTCGTTTGACCACAATAGATACCGTAATACTTATTTTGTCAGCTTTTTAAAACTAGCCCCCTCAGAAAGGAAGTCCCAAGTATTGTTGTGGATAAATAAAATTACTTGGCGTTAATAAATGAAAAATAATTTTTTAGATATAATTGTGTTGAAACACAGGCTTATAGATGTGATTGAAATTCTCAATGAACTAGATCAACAGCATACAACAGATGCATTCTTTGAGATCGTAAATTTACCTTTTGGTTTATAAAGAGTACAAAAAGTTGTGCGAGATTGTATTAGTTTAACAAAAACGTAACATTTAAGTATTTTTTTACAATGTGTTAATTTTAGGCACGATTGCTTCACAGAAGTACGTTATATTTTATAGAAAATTCCTATTATTTAAAAATTGTGTAACCACCACTTATGAAGACATGTAAATCGACTATCTCGAAAAATTTACGTATTCGAGTAGGCACGAATTTGGTTTGTAGCTTCATTTTCATACCACACTCTGATAGTTTTAAATCTGGAAAATTTCATCGATGGGAAAAATGTTACCAGCCCCAAGATTATAGAATTCTATGAAAAGTTAGATCTTAAAAAAAATAAAAGTAGACCAATTAATATGTAGAATCCAAAACAGGTATTTTCATGCCCTTATCGTCAAAAATATAATAATTTCCAGGTTGCAATTAGTTTTTTGGCAATATATCAGAAATACATAGACTTACAAATTATAGGTGTCGACAAGAAAGTTGTAGATCTACAAAAATAAAGCATTTCAAATATTTTTGTTTATTTAGAACCATCTTTATATTTTTAAAATTGAAGAAAATATTAAAAAATATGAAAACAAATTATTTTTTTGCTTTATCATAAATTTTTTTTCAAGGTGTGTGTACAGTCGAAAAATGTAGATTCTATTGATTGAAATACAACTTTTTTCTACTGTACACTTTCATTCAAATAAAAATTCTAATTGTCTAGAAGGCAATCAAAATTTAAAAACTATTAAAAAAATAGTTTATTACCAATTATAGTCAAAGTTGACTTTTTACCACAAATTTGTGAATGCTATAGTTGTAGATCTTAAAAAAATACACACTTTTCATATTTTTATGTATTTTTTGAAAAAATCAGTACTTTAGCTACAACGTATGTTTTAGATGTATGTGTCTTCGAGAAAAGTTTGAGATCCTGTTGTTTTACCTTTTGAAAAACATAGTTGTATCTAAAATGTTGTTATTATAGTCTAAAAAATGATAATTTACAAAAATAGCTAAACTTATGTAATAGTGCTAAAGTTAATTAATAAAAAAATTTTTTTTTAACTTATACGAATATGATTATACTTTCTGCTCAGGTAGGAATTGTGATCGCAGTTGTGTCNTAATAGTGCTAAAGTTAATTAATAAAAAAATTTTTTTTTAACTTATACGAATATGATTATACTTTCTGCTCAGGTAGGAATTGTGATCGCAGTTGTGTCTTTGACGCAAAAATTTTATATTTGGCATAAATTTAGCCGATTGTTATTTTGTAAACTATTGATAGTTTTGTAATGTGTACAAAGTTAATTTGTTTTTGTATTTATTTCAACGTTATGGAAAATAAAATTTTACAACCCTTTTTAAGGGCCTCACTTAGAGTAATAAGTATAACATTGTGAAAACACTTGTTTGTTTATCTCTTAAGGGTTTATTGTCTATTTTAAAAGTTTTACAGTGATCTAAAACAAAATTATAAAAATATTATTTCTTACACATTGTTAAAAATAACTTATAGACTTCAAATAAAATTGTAACTGTATGTTGACAGGTTATAACAAGTGCACAGAAATTATAGAATTAATTGAATAAAAATTCAAATAATATTAACAATAATAACTCTGTTCAATTAATTTTTCTCAGGTGTCAACCAATTCTTCTGTACACAATTTTTTTTTCTTTTTCACAATTAGGTTGAAAAATTAAAAAAATTGAAAATGCGCAAACATTTTTACCATATTTGAGCATATTCTCAAGCAAACTTGAAACGTTTATGGTTTAATAAATTCCAACAATTTTTGCAGGTTGAAAGATTAGAAATTAGAAATCAATAATAAAATTTGTTTTAGATAACTGCGTCCAATTGTCACAGTTCATGAAAAAAGATTTACAGTTTGATTCATTATGTCAAGTAGATTTTAAAAAAAATGTACGTAAAAAAAGGTTTGGTAAACTCATAAAACTCGATGGGAGGGTCACAGTCAAGTGACTCAATTTCTATGTAGGGAAAATGATAAACTTGAAAACTCTTACTGCACGGATGTAATCATAAAAATAAGCATGTAAATTTAAAAAAATAAATAAAAAATGGCACTTCACATGAATCTCGTAGGGATAAAATAACAATGACCGGTAAAATAAAGACAAAAAGTCAACTGTAACGCGGTCTTTATTACCTTTGCAGTTTCCCAAGAGGACAGGGATCCTACAATCTCCATCCATTTGCGAGGCTGTAAGCACAACTAAGTAAGTAAAGCCACGAAACTTTTGCCTATACCGAAGCAGCAAGCCGCGGGTTCGAAACCATCAGGAGAGAGGGAGAGTGGATAAAACGAGTTGGCGTTTAGTGTGGACAGAAAAATAGAGAATAAGAGAGAAAGCAAATATAGGTATAGGTAGCTGCAGGTAAAGGAAATTTTTTTATTTTTGCTCTCCATCTCGTGCTATCTGGTCTCGTACGGCTTGCTGCACGTGCGCCACGTACGCTTATAAGCATACTTACTTCTCGTGTGCCTATAGGCGTGCTATAAGTACGTAAGGATAATTTAAAGGAGAGCCAATACCTAGTATGTGAGAGAATGTAATTCGTGTGTAACACTGACGTTATGTTGGTCACGCGTTCCACTCGCTCGGCCGCTACTTGGTTTTTGCACGTTTCTCCATTGCAAGTACGGTCAAGTACGATCGACTCCTTATTTTAAAGAGTTTAATAGCCTATAGGAAAAAGGAGAGGGAGAGTAAGCGTTTATCTAGTCACGTGCGCACGAGACCTGATATCGATGGTAGAGTGTATATTTATAACGTCGGTGGTTGTGTTTATATGAGCTTTTATACGAAAGTAGGCCATAACGTTGGATAGCAATCATGATGCCAGGGATGTTTGATTTTTTTGGTTTTTAATTTATTCTCAAATTATTTTTTATTCTTTCTCAGTTGAAAATTCGGAGCATTTTCATTTTTTAAATCAACGAATCACCTGTTAACGACAAAACGTTTCATCCGATCGGAATAGTAATAGCTATAGCATGAAATTCTAGTTACACAGCGTAATGGAAAAATGAATTTGTAGTTGCATAATCGTAATAATCGGATTCCATTTTCTTATGTGTGATGAACTTTGATGAAAATGTACATCTAGTGATGCATATATAATCATTAAATTAATCAAGAATTAATGAATAAATTTAAAATCAATGAAGATTATTGGCTGAAAATTGAGTACTGTAGTAAAGTACTTAAAAAACCCTATCGATGAATTCTGCATTAGACATATACGTGCAAATTGTATGCGCATGTTTTACTGATTGACAAGTTTATTAAAAGATTTTTTAAAATAAATAAATGTATTAATGTATTACTGTACGATTTTTGTATTTGCTGGAAACAAGATAAATATCGTTACTTGCATATCTTAATTGATTCGCTGAATAGCTTACCGGAAAAAAATTAATATGACGCCTGAATTTATTATATTAGATGTTACTAAAATTTTTAATACAGAAAAATACATTGATCGAGATCGTTGAGGATAAAAAAAGCGTGTGTAAAGGTGTTTTTGTGTTTTGCAATAGTTCATTTTTAAAATAAAATAATCCATTTTCTTAAAGAATTAATTTATTTTCATAAACTTAAAGATCAAATTTAATGGTAAAATTAAGTTCCATGCTTTAGTAAGANAAAAAGAAAAAAAATAAATTAGTTAATATAAATTGATTTGTAGTATCATTTTTCACTTTGGTGAAGACAAATGGCCAAATGGCACTCTAGCCAAGCACCCGTACCTAAAAACCAAATTTTTGAAGTGAGATTACATTTCTCTCTGTATGTTCCAACGATTTAATATCAAAATAATACGTGAATGAAATTCTTTAAATCCATTAAACAAAAAGTATAGAAAAAAAGTGTATACTTTCGCGTGATTTTTGTAAGACAGGGTACTTTTTAGATCTATTCAAATGTATCTATGTAGTTTTTTTTTTTAAATTACTTTTTTGTTACAGCTACCTCTACTTACATATTTTCATTCACTTTGCAAAAATTTTCAAATCATTTAAAATAACGAGCAACGAGAATCGACCTCGAGGTTCACTAAAATTAAAAATCTTTTTTGCGATTTACCAGAGTGTAGGTACATTATACCGTAAAAATGAGGAGCAATGCTCACGTGTGTCGCTTTCAAGTGCGTGTTTAACATCCACATAAACTCGGCACTCCATTGATCGGACTGATATTGTTCGTATGTATTATGCTGTTATCAAATGCAAAAAAACAGCCGATGCACGAGACCACTGAGATCGAGAGCTGCGGTGCTTGGAATGTATAGTATGGACGTTAAAGCGAAAGTGTAAAAGATTATTTTTTTTGTGCAAACAAGCGTCTGTCTCGGGTAATGCCGTGTACATATTATATGAACCTTCGTCCGTGCGAGGGAAGCTCTTTGTGCAAACGTGCAAGTGCTGGGACACGGCCGATGCACGTGCGCGGTCAAACACGTGAATCTGTTCAATATCGGACGTACTTATGCGTACGACGCGCTGTTTCATATATTAGTTATTAAATTTTATGCAGCAAGTAACTTAATTGAAAGCAGTTACCTTTAAACTTCACACCACAGTTGGTTTGTTGGAAAATTGTCCATAAATTTTAGTAATTTTATTGAAATGCACTGATTATTAAGCGTGAAACGATTTGTTAAATTTTAAAAGTTTTTTACCTCGATTTTCTCTACATAATATATAAGTAATTTATCTATCATTGTATTGTTTATTTTTCTACTTTAAGATAATATTTAAATATGTCGATTGTACAGGAATACGTTGATTATAACATACTGTTTTTGAATACATAAAGTACCCTTTTCCTGCAGGAAAGAGGGAAATAGTTATCAATTCAAGGACAGTTTTTCGACGGATGGGTTACATGTATTATACGATAATGAAACCCATCCGTCGAAAAACTGTCCTTGAATTGATAACTCTTTCCCTCTTTCCGGCAGGTTTTAAAAAAAATTGACGACTACTTAGTTTTTTCTTTGATGATAACGCTAATTACAATAATTGGCGTTTTCAAAGGCGTTTTAAAACAACGCGTATGTGTAATTCAAGTATTATGTTGATAAAAAACAGCAAATATTTAATGATACGATTTTTTCAATAAATTTTTTGGTTCCATCAAAATATAGGATTGGCGACTTTAGTGATACAACAATACAAACGTATATTATTGCTTATACAGCCACTGCAAGTGTGTTGCGTCAGGCATATTCCGTTTACCTGAGGTGCATTATAAACGCTGATAAATTTTTACAATTACTTGATAGCAAGAAAGACGTGTCTTAATTTTCATTCTGCATAAAATTAAACACGGGTAATTTTAAAGAAGACTTAAGAAGACTTAAAGAAGAAGAATATGTGATATAATAACATTAAATTATTATTACAAAAATCTCATATTGTTTAATTATCCCAAATATAAATATGATTTACTTACTTAGCTTGGAAATCATAAAATTCGTTATTTTGTTAATCATCTAAAATCCAAGCTGTTTTTTTAAATTAATTTATGAAAAAATAGCGAACGTATTTAATAAAGCCAATTACATTAACAGAAAACTTACAATTTATACTTTTAATTAACAATTCCCATCAGTATAAGGTAATTTTATTTGCCTTATGAATAACATAAAAAAAATAGAAATCAATTACTTTTTTACTGAACAGATACATGTTTAAAAGTAAAAGAGATTAAATGTATATGGATAAAAGAGTAAACTGTGGGGGGCTGCAGAGGGTCTCCCAAAATGTGGTGGAGGCCGAGGTGCAGGCTTTGGGTATAGTATTTGGGGAGCCGCGGGGAGCTTTGACAAAATTTTCTTGGGTTTAAATAACGGTGATATTGTTTTATATCTTATCATACAGTTTCAAAAATCCAACAAAACGTTAAATGAACCTTTGATTAATATTGACATAAGCTTAAATAACGTCTTGAAACTGCACGATTTTGCAATTACACACCGAGATGGAATTCTCTGGTTCTCTGCATCCAATGCAGAATATGACTTCTAATACATAATACATAGTATTAAATAGGTTAGTTTTTTATATTTGCTATAGACAAGTGAGCAAATACAGCAAAAGTCGGTTATTTATTTTAACTTGTGCTGCAAAACCTTCAATAAACTATGACAAATGAGATGATAAAGGAATTCTTGACAAAATAAAAATTGTTGATTGTATAAGATACTAATAATCAGTTGAAGTCATTTGGTGACTATAAGAATTCACCTCCAAAAAAAGTAAATTTAGCTATATGTACACCTTGAAAAATAAAAAAAATTAAATTTCCAAGAAAAAAATATTTAATCTTCTTTAAAAAATTAGCCACACTACTAACATCATGGTTTGATCAAGTTAAATAGATGGTAGTGAAAAATTATTTAAATATACTCTCGTATGCTTCCGGCTCATAACGTCATAACCTATAATCATTAAGTTACACGTTAATAAGTAAATTTCATTGAAATTAGTATTCTAGAAGCATGCAAATCATTATCATTCAACCAACACTACGAAAAAAAAAATTATTATCAGAAAATTAAAACCATATCCTCCTTTCTTGTCATATTCAACTAATGCTATCTTGTTATTAATTTTTAAACGTTCAAATCTCACAACATATATAAATATGTTCTGTCTTCCATTGTAGCATTCTAGAACATTCCACTTTGATCTGAGTTCGCGTTCAATACACAGTATATTTACACCAAGCTCCATCAAATAGTTGATTTATCATAGCATTTGAAAATTTATGGCAACTTTACCAACAACTAACTATTATTGGATACAATTAAAAAAATTATTGAATGGATTATTGTACTATTTTATAAACCTATGTTATGTTTAATTTAAATAAATACTAATCAAAAATCAGAATATTACTTTAAAAAAATCTAACTTTGCAAGTATGAATAATGACCACACTGCTTTGAAAATTTATTTGTTTATGTTGAAAGTTTTTAGTGACAAAATAAAGTAAGTACTTAAAAATTAAATGACACTATAATTGTACAGAAATAAATCAAAAATACTTTTTGAATTGCTTTGTTATTATTGCGAGTGGACTGTTTTTTCATGTGGAAGTACAATGGAGTCGAAAATATTACTAAATTACCATTAGAGAACGAAAGTGCCATCAGCTTGCATCAATCAATGAGTAAAGCAGACCGAGTTTTATTTGTCAATCGGATAACTTAAACATTTAATTCCTATTGGCTAATTCGATGACATACCTTTTCTCATTGGTGGAATTCATAATTCGCGCTTAACAAATTGAACTCCTCCTCCGACTATATACATCAAATTACAATAAAAGGCATACTAACTAACTATATCTATAAAGAGCGCGCGGTGGCTCAGTCGGCTAATAGGTCATGGATTTGCACGCGGGAGACCGTGGTTCGATTCCCGGCCAGTGCGACTTTTTCGGGCAAGTACCTCTGTGATTTTTCACATGTGCTTTTTCACCACGCAATGCTCCTCGAGGAGGGTTTAGGCGACCTCCTCGCAGCATAAATTGCCTAATTTCCCCCTACCCCCCTCCCAGTAAATGGGAGGCCTTTCCATCCCTCTTCCCCTTCTTCTCCAATAAAGTGCTAAGTGCCCTTATCAAAGGAGCCGGACGTAGAGCATTATAATGAAAAAAAAAAAAAAAAAAAAAATATATCTATGGTTTGATATATATTGCCATACTTGATAGACATGGAGGATACAAGCTCATTGAAATTCCGCTATCTGGCCAGCATTTTTTTTATATCTTCGACTTCTTAATTGGATCAAAATAGTGTATACTATAGACATACATTGTATAAATAGCTTTTTTAAGAGCAAGTATTTTTTTTTTTGATCAAAGAAAAATTTATAATGCATATTACGCACCTGACAAACGTGGAAGCCAATTCAAAGTTTCTCTTCCATCGCAATTTCTCACAACTTAATATTTTTGCCTACCAAGTTTTTTTTCACGTAAATTTTCTTAATTTTTGCACATCTATACAAGAAAAAAAGAAAAACCAACAACGGTGTCAACTGCTATTCACCATACCACTAAGTAAACACATTTAAAAAAAAATTGTGCATAACTTTCAATGAGACGTACTCAAAAGAGGCCCAAAATAATGCAGGATTAAAGTTATAAACGCTAAACACTCGTTTTGTTCCACGCCACTCTTATTAACACACTTCATCGGCGACCGACTGATACACTGCACCAACGCAGGCAGATAATGTATATCATTATCCGGCTTGGTCTTTTTGTCGTCATTGTCGTCAATTTTTTAAATTAATTTATGAAAAAATAGCGAACGTATTTAATAAAGCCAATTACATTAACAGAAAACTTACAATTTATACTTTTAATTAACAATTCCCATCAGTATAAGGTAATTTTATTTGCCTTATGAATAACATAAAAAAAATAGAAATCAATTACTTTTTTACTGAACAGATACATGTTTAAAAGTAAAAGAGATTAAATGTATATGGATAAAAGAGTAAACTGTGGGGGGCTGCAGAGGGTCTCCCAAAATGTGGTGGAGGCCGAGGTGCAGGCTTTGGGTATAGTATTTGGGGAGCCGCGGGGAGCTTTGACAAAATTTTCTTGGGTTTAAATAACGGTGATATTGTTTTATATCTTATCATACAGTTTCAAAAATCCAACAAAACGTTAAATGAACCTTTGATTAATATTGACATAAGCTTAAATAACGTCTTGAAACTGCACGATTTTGCAATTACACACCGAGATGGAATTCTCTGGTTCTCTGCATCC